TTCCTTACGTCAGTCCATGGAACTCTTCCCTATCAGAACTATACGTCTAGCTAGATTTTCTTGTTTGTCGACATCTTTCAACTCTACATTTGTACAATGTCGACAGTAGTCACTCGCACACGGACGTCTCGACAGTCCATCAGCATTCTTATGAGAGAGACCTTTACGATGGGTTACCTCGAAATCGTACTATTGTAGTCTTTCCACCCATCGTGTCAGTTGACCCTCCAAATCTTTGAAGGACATAAGCCATTTGAGAGAAACATGGTCTGTTCGCACCAGAAACTTCCGCCTGTACAGGTAATGGTGAAAAGCTTTCACCGACTGCACTATTGCCAAAAACTCTCGTCGCGTAACACAATAGTTTCTCTCGGCTTTATTAAGTATTCGACTGAAGTATGCAATGACCCTTTCCACGCCTTCCTGTTTCTGCGACAGGACTGCTCCAATTCCTTGATTTGAAGCATTCGTGTCGAGAATAAATTCTTCCTCCATTCTAGGGAACGCTAGTATTGGCGGAGAAGAAAGAATCCGCTTCAGATTGTCAAAAGATTCCTGATGTTTTTGTTCCCACACAAATTTCGACTGATTCTCCGTTAAAGCATATAACGGTTTTGCTAGAGAAGAAAAATCCTTTACAAACTTACGATAATATGAGCAAAATCCTAGAAAACTTCTCAAATGTTTCTTATTTTGTGGAACTGACCATTCTTTTACAACCGTTATTTTCTCTGGATCTGTGGAAACACCTCCTGCCGATATCACATGTCCTAAATATTTTATCTTTTTACTAAAGAAGACACATTTTTTAGGATTCACTCTTAAATTCACCTCTCTAAGGCGGAGAAAAATCTTCCTCAAATTCAACAACATTTCCTCAACACTCTTTCCGAAAATAATTACATCATCCAGATATACTAAACAAATCTTAAAAAGAAATTCCTTCAAAATCTGTTCCATTACTCGCTCAAACGTTGCCGGAGCATTACAAAGACCGAAGGGCATAACCGTGAATTGCCACAAACCATTACCAACTGAAAAGGCCGTTTTCTTTTTATCCTGCGTGCGAATCTTTATTTGCCAATACCCACTTTTTAAATCTAAGGTAGTAAACCAAACATTACCTGATAACTGGTCAAGAATATCATCTATTCTAGGTAAAGGATATGAATCTTTTATTGTGATTGCGTTCACTTTCCGATAGTCCACACAAAATCGTGTTGTTCCATTCTTTTTTTTAACTAGAACCACTGGTGAAGACCATGGACTATTTGATTCCTCTATAACACCTTGATCCTTCATTTCCTTTATTATTTTATTCACTTCCTCTCTCCTTTGAATGGGAACTCGGCGAGGCACCTGTTTAATAGAGGGAGAATCTTTGACATTAATAACATGTTCCCCCAATTTGCAATTTCCCGCAATGATGTCGTTTGAAAACACGTAACGAAATTCACCCAGAAAGCTGCCAAAGTCTTCTTTTTCAGAATCGCTCAGATATTGGCAACTTTCTTTAAAAAGCGCAGCTGTATTCAGCGCAGCTGGAATATTTACGGTGGCAACATCTTTCATGCGAAAACATTTTAAATCATTGGCCGTTTCAGTTGGATTTCGAAAAATCAAATAAAAAATATTTTGTAAATTAAGTAATTTTAGGAAGTTCACTCCAAGTATACAATCGTCTTCTATTCGTGCAACTAGCATCGGAACCTCTAAAGAGTATTCTGCAAGTCGAATCTTTACCGCTATTTCATATTTAAAACACTTGCTCTCCCGTAGGATATTTAATATTACGATTAACTATTTTTCTTTCTGGCCCTTTATATTTAATAAAATTCTCATTTATGATCGAAATATCGGAGCCTGTATCTATTTTTAAAATGCAGGGTTTGCCATTTGCCTCACCCTTATAATAAAAATCTCCTAAATTACAATCTATTCTATTCATTCTGTAAGAATATTGATTAGTACATGAATTATTTACATCAACAATATTAGAACATCGAACATAATCAAGATCATTATTATTATTCTTACAATTAGTCTCATAAGTCCTGTAAAAATGTTTATTAGTAACATTATCCATATTAATTTCATTATCAATTGTACATTGTTTAATAATAGTGCGATTATTATTCGGGTCATTTTTCCCTCTAGTCGAACCGCCCCCGCCAAGCTCGACTAATTCACGTTTTCCGCCCCCGTCCGACCAGGGCACTCAGAGCGGAAGTGGCCTTCTTTGCCACATTCCCAACATTCCCTTCTATTTCCAGTTTTTACCTCGCTTTTATTTTTGAAAAATTTTCCATTTTTGTTAGTTTTACTATTCTTTTCTTTATTATCTTCCCCTTTTTTATTAATTTCATTTGAATCATCTCTCCCTTCATTGAAATTTTTCCTTTTTCTATTTTCTTAATGAAAATTATTTTCCCCCTTATTTTTGAAACAAGTTTCCTGAATTAATTGAACCGTTTTCGTTCTCTCTGGCTAATCTCAGAGACGCGACCCCTTCCATCTGCAATGCCCTTTTTACATAGCCGTCGGACAGGGTCGAAACAAATTGCGCGCAAGCGATTTTATCGCGCATCAAATCGGAGCATTCCGGGTATGCCATTCGAGCCAACCTCTCAATTTCTGAACTGAAAGCCGCTATGCTTTCCCCGAATCTTTGTTTTCTATTTGTTAATTGTGTGTAATAATTTTGTAATGAGTGTGCCTCTCCGAAACGCAATTCTAATTTTGCTTTCAATTCCGCGTACTCTAAATCTTCTAAATTTTGAATGTTTTCTAATACTGCACGCGCCTTCCCTCTTAAGCACGAAACCAAAACAGCTGTTTTTATTCTTGTTTCCCAACAATTCGCGTACGCGATCAAATCGAATTGGGCGAAAAATTCTCGAAGAGGGGCACTCCCGTCAAACGTATCAGGCTTTAACCTAAAACCCGTTTCTGTATGACGCGGAGCACGCGGCCCGACGCACCCGTGCACGTCCGCGATAAAAAATAAAAAACAATAACTAAAGGGCAAAGTAAGAGCCAATACGTTAAAAATATAGTTTGAAAATTGG